ATGATTCCACATTGACTAAAATCTTCTATTTAATTTTAGGGTTCCACAAGATACAGTGAATTTTTAAATTTATATTTTTCTACAACTTTTATATTCATATTATCAAAAAATTACCCATAATCTAAGCTACGTCTTATTTCTTTTTCTTAATAGTTACTTATATTCGTACTAAACGAATGTCCTTCTGTTTGCAGATAGTGTAAAAAAGTGTAAAATTTCACTTAGGGTACTTCCAATTTTAAAGATTATTCTTCGGAATTTGAAAAGGTTTTACTGAATTTCATTTAAACTTTGTAATACAATTTTCAAAATTTATTTAATTTTGGAAATTAAAATTAATAAGTTTCGTTGTCTTGAAAATTTTATATATCTCCAAAAGTGAAATATATAAGACGCAAATAGAACGTTTTTCCCTACAGACTTTTAAGGAAAACGAAATAAAGTCTCTGCAACAAACTCACAATATTTTGTAGATGATACTTTTCGTGAAAATTGTGTAACCATAAAAATCAAAAAGAAGAATCTAAAACGTTTGCCTGATAAATATGCTAAACTGCACATATTTAATAATGGCTTATTAGGCAAACAAATACTATCGAATTTTCCAGGCCTTTAAGGTGACATTTTAATATGGTTAAGGCACTCTACATAATATTTTTGAAATGGCTTTCAGTTAAAATTGGGACCTTATGATTAACCCTAAACAGGTTAAAATGTAACGGTANTGTATGGGTACCATTATAATAGCTTCAATTCCTTTCGTTTTACTCTTCCAAAGATGTATGGATACCATTATAATAGCTTCAATTCCTTTCGTTTTACTCTTCCAAAGATGTATGGATACCATTATAATAGCTTCAATTCCTTTCGTTTTACTCTTCCAAAGATGTATGGATACCATTATAATAGCTTCAATTCCTTTCGTTTTACTCTTCCAAAGATGTATGGATACCATTATAATAGCTTCAATTCCTTTCGTTTTACTCTTCCAAAGATGTATGGATACCATTATAATAGCTTCAATTCCTTTCGTTTTACTCTTCCAAAGATGTATGGATACCATTATAATAGCTTCAATTCCTTTCGTTTTACTCTTCCAAAGATGTATGGGTACCATTATAATAGCTTCAATTACAAAGCCGCATTTTCACTTATTTAATGCAGACTTGTAGGAAAACAAAAAAATAAAAATATAAATATTTACAATGACAAGAATGTATTTATAAATTTTCAAAAATAGATTAACTACAGTGGTAGGCGATTATATCAATACAATGAAAAAATTCATCTTCATCTATTGATATAATTGCTTACACTGTAGTAAAATTGAATCATTTGTTTGTTTGTATACATTTCTTCTACAAGAAAAGTTTTCTGTAAGGACAGGTCACATTTTAATTTTTGTTGGCTTTTTTGTTTAATTTATTTTGGGATATTTGGTTTTCCTTTGGGACTTATTTTGGCGGAAAAATCTGAAATATTTTAAAAACATTATAAAATCGAAAAAATTTGTATTTCTTATTTACAGTCTACACTTCTGGTATATTTTTGCAAAAAAAGAAATTAGTATTGTAGGTATCTGGAGATGAAAATTAAGTTTCCTTACCTAGTTTATGCACAATTTTGTTTGTTGGTTTATAAATACAATCTCCGCTCCAGTTTAAATTAATTGCAAAAAAAATATTCACATTCAAATTTACTATATTATTATTTATATAGTACTAGAACTTTAATTAATTTACTAATGTATATATATATATACACACATTAGTATATGATTCGAAGGTTTAGAAGTAAATCTAAAAGATTGTAGGACTGGTTTCATGCTACTTTGGCATAAATCTTACAGTTCATTCCCCACCCTTTTCTTTATTCCAAACCCCTAAATTTGTTCGTTTTATTCTAATATCTACCCCTCCTTCTCCCAGGTTCTAGCAAAACCAACAAATACCTTCTTAAAACTAGGTAAATATTTACTATTTTCTAAAAAATAATTTTAGGGAAAGGATCGTTCCACTAATAAGCATCATTGTACTAATGCGATTTAGGTTCTTTGTTCACCAATAGCCAAACAAGTTTTTTAGAAAAAAGTCCAAATTGAAGTGAAACATTGAAAGTTGGTTATCGCCTTTTTTGATGATATTGGTGACACAATTATTATAAATCAACGTTTTATTCTTTCTTTTACATGTTCTCTGGATTATGGCATAATTAATTTTCCTATTCTTGGCATAGCAAAGATCTTTCTACTGAAAAAAAAGATTGAATGTAAAGAAGTTGACTTGTCTAACGAAAATTACAATTATCTTATTAAAAGTTATTTCCATAGCCAATCCCCCCCATAAAAAAAATCCATAGCTTTACAATAACTATTTATTATTTGGTGACTCACAAATAACCTTTTTTTTAAAAAAAAACGACGACATTTGTACATTTTTTCAACAATTAGTTTGTAAAGGAATTGAGTTTTTGCCACAAATCCCAATTTTATAATACCTAAATCTCTACAACCAGATGATGCAAACCTTTCATATTTCAAACTTACATTATTTGATCCACCAGAACTCATAGTTTGAAATATGAACGGTCTACGACATTTGGTTTTAAAGAAATTGGGATTTAAAAATTCGAGTTTGTGGCAAAGACTCAATTCCTTTAAATGTAATTATATCCGACTCTTAACGATAACAAAGTTATTGTTAAGTGTAAAGTAATATTTATTTCAAAAAGTAGTAAAGCTTGGCTAATTTTCAATTTTAATTTGAAATGAATGCTGTACCCAAGTACGGGAACCTAGTTTTACCTGAACATCTAAATGATGTTTTTAACCAAGCTTAGAACATTACCATAATTCTAACTAGCTTCCCAATCAAAATTTAAGGGAAATTGGTCAAGGATTCATACATTGTGATCGGATAGGGAAACCGAAAAACATAGAAATCACGGGGGACTAAGCCAGTGGGGTCGGTCAAATAGGCCTAGGATTAGGCCGGGTACTGTAAAAAGTCTGAACGCGCCATGGGAGTTGTCATAGTTAGCCCTCTCACGGGACTATGCCAAGAAAATTGACCCCTGTCGTATGTTAGTCTGGTTAGGGCGATGTACTGCACCATAGGATCGGGTCAGTACACGCTGTTATCTGGCAGGCCGGTACAAACTGGGCAGGTCCTGTTCTAATTCAAATTTACTACGGGGATAGAGTGAAATGGTCAGGAAACTTATTATGGACATCCGAACAAACAAACAATTACTCAAACATAGATTACTACTTTATATATAAAGATTTTAATGTAAACTTGATAATATATTGAAAAATGACGTAAACAACTAAAGTTGATATCGTTTTATATATTATTATCTGATATATACATTTATATAAAGCGAGCTGGTTATAGAAATTCTCTTTGTATTGTCACATTTAATTAATCCATTGTAACCTTCAGTTGTTAGGTCCTAGACAACATATTCTATATTTCAGTGCTGATAATGTCAGTTCATTCATTTTGTATAACAAAAAAAAGAAAATGACATAATTTTGAGCAAACATTTGTTCATTCAATATTATAAAGACTACTTACATTTAAATATCTACATGAAATAAATTCGCAATAAATGTTAAAAAAAATCAGAACGGAAGTATAAATGTATCTTAAACTTTGATCAGATTTCTGCCTAAAACTTGGAATCAGCTTATCAGTTAACAATAATTTACTGCACTTGTAAAATGGGGCTATGTATAATTGTACATGTATTTTCTAAAACTACAGTAAAAATTTATACATTTAAGGTTAATCGAAAAAAATAAGTAGATTAAAATTTTGCAATGAATTAATGAGAAAGAAGATTTAAAATAAAATCCAGCAAATATTTAAAAATATTTAGTTAAATCTAATAATTAGACGACTTTCCGTTAGAAAATGAACGAAATATATTGAAAATGAACGAAATATATTGATAATGAACGAAATATATTACTAATGAACGAAATATATTGAAAATTAACAAAATATTTTAAAATGAACGAAGTATATTGAAAACGAACAAATTCAAATTTTTACTTAACGACTGAAAAAAGGAAACAAATTGAGAACAATTCTACTTATATCCTCTTACTTGGTTTACTTAAATATTCTGAGTTACTAATAGTTTTAAAAATTTATGTTGACTAAAATCTGTCTCTTTTCATTTATAGTTGAACTGAAAACTGAAAAATAGTGGATATTGTGAAATCACTGCTTGATCCTCTTTTTTTGCTAATCTCAAGACTAATTTAGTCTTTAAATTAATTTATAGAAATTACAGATGCACTTTTTAATTTTTAAAAAACCCGGTTTTTAATTTTCCGCATTTGTGGTGTTATATCAATTGGGCTAATGGTTGATTGAATGAACGTAAGTTTGAGTCAATGTTTAATTAGAATAACATTTTAAAAGGACTATAGTCCTAAAAGTTTCTTTTTTAAATAGTTCATGATAAGAAAATTAAGAAAGTTTATATTTGTTAAAATGTCTAAAAGTCGACTTGTGAACAGCTGACTTTAGTTCAATCGATATAGCATCGTATCTGTATTTGTAATAAAATGTATCTTTTATACATGAAGTAGGAAATATGATATCCAACAAGAGCGGATTGAATAGAAAATTAAAAGGGATCCGAGTAGAATTGTATACTCTTAATCCCGATCGCTTAATCTGAATATCCACTGTTGAAACTTATACACTCTGATTGATAGAATCCCCAATTCTAAAGTTTTCAGCTCCAGATTAAGGGTATCCAATTCTAAAGTTTGAAGCTCTGGTTTTGCTTCTTTATGATAATTTAATTGAAGTAGAGCCGAAATCTTTAAAAAAATATCATTTGAACTTCGCATCATGAAGGAAATACAAATTTACAATTAATGCTATGCTGCATGTGGGGCTATATAGCAATAAGTTATCAATTGGAATAATTATAAAAATCAATATCCTTCTTTGTGAACTATTCGTCATTATCTTAATTTTCAGAAACATAAATGATGATTGATTAAATCTTATAAACATCAGGATTGGCTTAGATGTTTTGGTGGTGGAAGAGAAACCAAGGTATGATCACTTTATTAATACCGGACTTTTAGGGCGCTTCACGTCAACCTTCTATTTCAACTTTTAATTATGGCTTTATCTGTGAGCATCTTCTCCTTGTACAGTATAAAACAAAAACAAAACAATTTTGCGGATTTCATAATATTTTTTGCGCATTTTCAAAATTTTACAAAAATAAAAAAACTTTTAAACAAAATTTTTTAAAATTTTTATCATTCATAAACCTTCCCTGGGGTCACGTGAGGTCCCACACAAAATTTGGGCCCGATTGGTTTAGCCGTTTTGGCGTTTATTGGATACAAACATACAGACAGGTAGAAGATTTATAGAAGTGACGCCATGATAAAAAGTATAGATTATTCTTGTATTAAAAAATATAAAATGTCTTTAGTTTAGTGCATGTTTTCAATAACTTTATCTCATTTAGATTTTTCAACATTTATTTGTTTTTTGTCGAAAAATTAATACTCCTTGATAAATTGGCATAATTTTGTTCTAAAAAAGATTAATTTAAAAAAGGCATGAGAAAAATGGTAGCCTTTTATTAGTTTCTTTAGAAGTTAAGGATTAATTATGCTAATATTTGCGTTTTAATTCAAAAATTTAAAACACCATATTCCCGACATTTGGTACAAAAACGTTTCTAAATGATTTTTAATTTTTGTTAAGAATTTTTTTTACAAGTGTAAAGGGTCCCAACATTTTTCCCAAAAATCTGATACCTTGTATTATACACCGATCAGATATGATGAAAATCAAAACCAAAGTCAACTAAAGTGCAGATTCATTTTTAGTTCACATGTTTACTCAACTAGCTTTTCCCATCGTTAAAGATATTTTTTAACTGGAAATCAAACATTTTTTCTATTAACTGAACCTCCGTTTAAGATGGTGGAAATGGTGAAAATGAACGGTAAGATGATAGTGGGGACCAGCAGCTATCAGATGGATGAGGATGAGGAAGGATACGCTGCTGTATCAGAGGTAGTTTTGGTCGTCGGGTTAGGACAGATTTCAAAAATAGTTCTACTTAACGTTAAAACTTTTTGTATTTTTAAGAATTTAACATTTCTAAACTCAGAGTACCAAGACGGATACTTTAATTTTTATCTTAATTATTTTGCCGTAATTTTCCCCAAAACTTAAATCAATGATTTGATCGACACAAAAAAAGCATAAACGTATATGAGTTGAAAACGTGCAAGGTGGATTTGAGGATTTTTTATCAAAAAAGTATCCCCATAGATTTACCCTTATTTTGATATAAACTGCACTAATTAGATTTTCTCTCGGCGCGTCGGTTAAGTTAAAGGAATTGAGTCTCTGTGAACTCTGTTAGATCAAATAATCTGAGTTTTAAAAATAAAAAATAACTTCTTCAATTTTTGTATTTATAGGTATTCGAACTTTCAAGTTTGTGGCACAGACTCAATGCATTTAGTCATTTTTTATTTTTATTCCCAACAATCAGCCAAGTCAAATTGTTCAAATTTCTAACCTTATCGACGTGTCCCCACCCCTTTCATAGCGATGATTTCTTGAAAGGTCAAATATTGACAAATGGTCTACTCTCTATAAGTTTCTAGTCTTTGTAGTCAATGATAAACTTGAGAAATGACAGCTCCTTGTCATAACAGGAAAACACGAGCAAAGTTGGAAGGATGTTCCAAAAATAACAACAACAAAATCAAAATAATTATTAATGATGATATAAGAAATTATTTTTTTAAATTAAAAGAAATACAAAACTGTGTTTATCTATTAATTTAAACATCGAATTTAGTCACAAAAATAAATAAATAAAAAAATATCCTGTAGTTCATATCCTATAGATAATATAATATGATTTAAGGAATTGCATATAGTTTGACAAACACAACAAAAGAAAGGATAAAGTAGCGAATTCTGAAAACTCTAAAAGTTTAATAGACGTAGATTGGAACCAAAGATAGAATTTACCCCAAACTTGTTAATGATTCTTGTAATTTTGATTTGTTTGAAAAGAAACACAAATAATTAACCTTAAACATCTACCCTACAAAAATAGATTTAAAGAAGGCCCAAAACAAGTCGACGCACGGTAATAAGTATTTTTCCAAGAAGTATTGATATTTTCCTGTTAATTACTCGACGATTTTTTTTTATAGACGGATATTTAATAATGAATTATTGTTTAGTGGTCAGAGAATTCAAAACTGAGATGGTTCACAACAGGATTCCTTCATGTACTTTCCTATTTACTAGGCATTTTCATTACTTCCATTTTTTTAAATCCTGATAGACAGTAAATAAATACTACCAATCGCTTTTTATTGAAAAATTGAGAAAATTGTATTGTTAAGACTAAATATACGAATAAAATTAGTAACATTAATATCGAATTTATATCAATAACAAGTAATGAAAATATTTTAGTCTTCCTGACAGCACCGATATCCTTCATATTTGTTCTAAGGAATCCATCACCCAGCAATAAGTCTCTTTTTGTGATTTAATTTAACATGAAACGCAGAATTTACAAAAAATAATATGTCAATTTTAAAAGGACTATAATTTTAATCGACAGTTCAATTAAAGAGTTCAATTTACAGCAGTAAGTGGTAAATGATAAAAAAAACTTCTTCTTTGCAGAAATTGTGACCCCAGGTTCTCGTCATACTGACATGTTGATTATTGTACAAAAAGTAGGAATAGAACACTTACTAGAAAGTGTTATTTATAATCTTTGCAACCTGATAGTGTAAATCTTTAATATTTCAAACTTCAACTATATTTAAACTAGCAGAATTAATAGTTGAAAATCAGGTTGCAAAGATCTCACAACAATCTCACCAAAGGCAGATGATTTAGTTGGTGTACTGCCGGCATTGTACCGTTTTAATCTCCTTATAGACTTATAGTGTACAACTTGCCCTAGCTTCCTGAAAATTAGTCCGGTACTTGAACCGGAATTCTCAGTGATATGTGGATTACAAATAATTTAGCCTATCTGGTGAGTGTTCAGTTCATTTGTACGTGTTTAATTTATCCTTTCTGGTGAGTGTTCAGTTCATTTGTACGTGTTTAATTTAGCCTTTCTGGTGAGTGTTCAGTTCATTTGTACGTGTTTAATTTAGCCTTTCTGGTGAGTGTTCAGTTCATTTGTACGTGTTTTTTAATGGGTTGATGAATTCCGTTCAGAAAAATCCCCGAGTACGAACGTGCTGTAGTGCTTGGGTCTACATTAGAAATGGTATTATTCAGTATTTACTGTCATAAATCATTAATTTTACATCCTACAGTAGTTCTATATTTTTTTGTTTCGTTAATTTTTCTTTTTATTTCCATAACAGTAAACACGATGATTTATAGGCAAGTGTGAGAGGTCCAGGCTTGATATTTGTTCTGCCATTTCTTGAAAAGGTATTCTTATGAAAATAAAACATTTTACTTTTATCAAATTTTATGCATATACTGCCGGAGTTGTTGAAGGAATGCATTTCTGTCATATTCAGAAAAAAAGTTTTAGGATAGCTAAATTTTATTATAAACTAGCTTGGGAACCCAGCATTGCCAAGGTTACCGAAAGAAACTTCCGCCGTTTACCCGCACTTGAACGATTTTACCGGGAAACTAAATTTTCGATATTAAAGTCAACCCACTCAACTTAAAAATTTAAAACCAAGCTAAGAACAGTCCCTTGGGCCTCCCAAGTTCCCCAATCAAAATTTGAGGCAAATCAGTTCGGCCCAGGGGTTTCTGAGTTATGATCGGACAAACAAACAGACAGACAGACTGACAAACAGAGATAACAACTTTTTTATTTATAGATAACAAATTTTTGTAGATACTGATAATAATTTTAATTTTGATTTTATGAATTTAAAAATTAATTCTCGATTTCATAAAGCAAGAAAGAAATCGAGAATACATATACAGTTTTTTTGTCTATACATATTAACGACTTGTATTCAACAAACATGTTTAATGTTGAGACGAGAACAACTGATTCTATGGTTCAGCGAGCAGTAAATGGGGCTCTTTTCTGATGCCAAATATAAAATTGCCAAAATTAAATAGAATGGAAACTAACCCACAAATAGCAAACCTTGAAAGATGAAAAATTGTTTTCTGCCAGCTTCTTGAGATAAATTATTGAATAGAAAAAGCGTCGTTAATTCAGATTAAAATTAATTTTCCTAAATTTATCAAACAAATTATCTTATTTAACAATATTATATATATATATATATATAAACGAATCGGGGAGCCGGCTATAAAAGAACAATGAAAACAAAGTTTGGGCATTTAGGCATACAACCCAACAAAAGAAATTTGCAAATTTTTAGTTTTTCTTAATTACACATTTAACATTTTGCAAAACTATTTTATCATCTTTTGGATTTTTTTCGCAAACATCTTTAATATAAAACCAAAGGGTATAGATTATACATAGATTGAAATTTAAACAATTCCTCGGCATACAATTTGTCAGTTCCTTTCAGCCTGAAAGTGTTCAATTCAAGTAAATGTTCACAAACTATACGCATTACATCACACTAATACAGTATGATCCCTGGATATATCCATTACAATTTCTTTGTCCTATAAAGTTGTTTAAACGTGTGTATTCGCTATAGGTGAATAAAAATCATTATTTTATTAAACACTAAAATGTAAAAATCTTCGTTTGTAAAGTGAATACCTACAGAATTGTTAATCTTATTTGCTTCAGACTCTTCTGTATACTGCAATTAGTATCTCGTTTTAAATTAATTTTCCTTTTTCAAATAAGGTGGCTGTTAGGGCGCTTCGCGCCCATCCTCTATTTTAATTGTGAACATTTTCTCTTTGTATAGCATTGTAAAACAAAAACAAACAAAAAGTATGTAGATGCTTCTAAGGCAATTAATAAATAATGTACAACGTAGTTCAGGTTTACAGATGTAGTGTTACGCGATATTTATTACAAGTTACCCCAGAAAGTTCAAAAACATGTTTAACCCCTTCCCCCCCCCCCCACCCCTCTTTGTCTGTGCCCTTAGTCAGTGCACACAGCCAAATAACTGTCTATGTATGTTACCCATCCAATCAATACACTACACAACATATTAATCTGTGTGCAGTATCATCTGATTCTGAACCTACACTGTTAAGAAAAAACATATAGTTTTGTTCTTGAATGGATTTCAAGCGTAATATCAAATGACTTGCAATTGCTAGAGTAGCTCATGACAGATTTAAAACGAAACGATATTTATAAATGCTTTGTCTGATTAAGGATAAATTATATATCCATGTTTTGAATTGTTTTCCTTTCAGGTTTTGTTTCGATAGTAACTTACTCATTTCTTGCTTCAGAAACAATCGGGAAACTATCACACTTTACAACACTTTTTAAATCAGAAAATCGACGTTTTCCTCCGGACATTATTAACCAAGTTGAGTTACCATTGTAAATTCCCTGTTTTAAAATGGAGAGGCAATTAAAATGAATAAGGTCTTTGAATTTACATATACGATAAGCATTTCGATCGAAATCCTGATATATTTTGGTTTGAAAATAAGAAAAAAATAAAATGTTAGGCAAATGGAAATGTGTTAGCTAAAGGGACTGTAAAGGAAAAATGAAAGGGGGTATAGGCTAAACGCTAATTACTTTAGCTCTTGATCGCGACCCATGAAAGTTCTATCTAATGTTCCTGTCTCGAGAAATTGATATTAAATAGAGTCAAAGGAGTTGAGTCTTTGTCACAAACTATGATTTTCTAATCTATATATCTTTGTAACCCAATGCCGTAGACCTTAGATATTTCAAACTATTAATTCTGTTAGATGAAAAAATCGAAGTTTGAAATATCAAAGGTTTTCACTTTCAGGTCGAAAAAATATAGGCATTAGAAAATAAGAGTTTGTTACAAAGACTCAAATCCTTTATGCAAAAATTCATATATTTATATATATATAATAATCTTCTTATAACATTTTATTCATAAACAAATTGTTTCATGCTTTTATGCAATCATCAGTATATATATATACAATTTTGTGTAGAAATAGTAGGATAAACCAGGGGCGGAAACGTCATGTATGTGTGTCTGTACAAAAAGAGTATGTGTAAGTAATAAGGAACCGAAGGCGTGTACTGTATGTATTTAATGTACATAATTGAATCTCGGTATTTGGTCTATGAGAGTACATTTGTTTATTGTTAATTGTTTACTTAAGAAAAAGTTTAATATACATGTAATATATTATTTATATATCTATGTCAACACTATTAGCCAAATTTTCATGCAAAGAAAATAATTTGATTAAAGTTTACAATAAACTACTCGTTTTTCAAGCTTAATTATAATTGACGACATTGTTCTGCAATTTCATTGACTGAAGTCATGTTGTGTGTCTGTAACAAAAGAGCGTGCGTGTGTAATAACGAACTCGTCTGCAAGAGAAACCTAATTATAACTTAGGTTTACTAAAATTATTATTTGTATAAATTTGACACAGTTTTATATCAATTTCTCGAGACAGGAACATCAGATAGAATTTTCATGGGTCGATATCAAGAGCTAAAGGGATTAGCATTCAGCCTATTCCCCCTTTTACTTTCCTTTACAGCCCCTTTAAGTCAATAATTATCGACTGAAAATTTGAAATAAAAAAATTCTTAACAGATGTTCGTTATCACAGGCAACAAGTTATTGGTTTCTAATAACAGTTTGTTCTAATATTAGATAAGGAGAATTGATACAAGAACAAAAGTTTTCGAAGTTCCACCTCAACAGATCCTAAGCACTGATTCAGTTACACTCACAGTTGATGCTGTGATATACTACAGGTACTTTTTCGTTATTAAGTACGTGATATGTTGTAAAGGAGAAACCAGCTGATGTATATACTGTACGAATTGGGCTTGGTTAATATTTACTAGCATTATATACATACAAACATACTTAATGCAATGCAAAACTTTGTATTAATATGGTACAGGACGTTTTAAGTTATATTTATAATGCTTTAAACATTGCTTGATTCTATACTGAAGCAAGAGTTCCCCAGTAGAGATAAAACGACGTTCAGCTGGCGGTCAAATGACCCAGGAACAATAATATCCCGAGAAGGAGAGAATTTATTTTGTGTACTGTACCATTCCATTGCGTCTAAAGTCAGTCTGCAAATGTGCATACTGCACTGAAAAATCCGGTTTACAGGAAGTACTGGACTAACTTTCAGGCAGCTGGCGGTCAAGTTGTGCAGTATAAAATAAGATTATTAACCACAAACAGGACCAAAAGAATCTTCTTCTTCTTGTGAGATTATTGTGATTGAACAATTTGCTTTAGCCCTGCTTAAAAGTTATTTTGGTACTTCAAATCAACCAAAGTGTTTATTGCATGGCCAAACGACAAAAGGGCAAAATGACATATTCTGAGTTGAATCTGGGCGGGGGAAAATTTTCTAGCTACGTCGATGAGTTTGACTCTTTAGTCGTTTTATCATCAAGGTTAAATACCTTTTTTACAAAAAAAGGAATTAGTAATTAATTATAGTAAGGCTACATAAGTTTTTATTTACAGCAAGTTTTTCGATATCTATTAATATGATCCATAACTTTTAAATAAATCAACGTTCACAAAATACGGACATATTTATCGAGAAATTCACATTATCATTTCAAAGAGCTTTATTTTTCTAATCTTTTATTAATAAAATATTCACTTCATTATAAGTTTTGAATAGATATTGTTAAGCTTCCAAAAACTTTAAATTGCCTTAAAGTTTTAAGTGTTTATCACTTTATGCATTGTTTTTGATCAAGTAGTTAGCAACCAAATATGTATGCAAAAATAACTCATGAACTGTCTTTAAATCTGCCTGAAATCTGCATAATATCTCCATGAAGGGACTGTGTGAGTAACTTTTTGCCAAGAAAAAAATGTGATTTTTTTCAATCCGTCAATCTGATCAGGTAGATCCGCACAAAAAAATAGTTTTGTGGAAATAAATGGTGGCTTAAAAACAACATTTAATCCCAGAACTTGTTCAAGAAAAAAGGGCGCAGATAGCCCTCACTTAGTATAGCACATACAGGGTGTCCCAAAAAACGATCTTTTAACTTTTAAAGCTTGAAGTACTTTTTTTAGGACTTTTTTTAAGTCTTCGGAACATTTCCAATCGATTGATATCAATTAGAGGTATGAAGCACACAAAGGAATTGAGTCTTAGAAACAAATCCCAATTGTCTAATACCTATATATCTACAACCAAATTATGTAAACCTTTGATATTTCAAACTTTGATTATTTGATAGTACAGAAGTCAAAGTTTGAAATATCTAAGGTCTACAACATTGGGTTGTTAAGATATAGGGATTTAAAAACCAGAGTTTGTGGCAAAGACTCAATTCCTTTAAGAAGTAAGAACAGTTTGAAACTATACATACATTTTGACTTGGTTGAACTTGAATTTGAATTTTACCTTATTATGGAATTTCATTAGGGGCGGAACAAATGCAAATCTTCTTAACAAATCTAAAAATGCGCAGTTATTCTTTAAGAAGGCCTTAGTTAGACAAATATTTCCTTGCTGTTGGGTACTACATGAGAAAGGGCCACAAAACGTTATGCCTAGTCTTTTAATGGAGTTTGAACGCAAATTTTACTATACAAGACAGCAGACAATTCAATTATCATTATAATTATTATTATTTTATGAACATTCTTCATCATTTTTGCGTAATTATACACCCTTATTCTAATCTATTGAAATAAAATGTGAATTCAATGAGATTTTTTTTACTTGATATTGTCACAATGACAATATGAATTTTAAACCAAGCCAAAAAATCAAATTTTAAACTGTTTTACTTCTGCTTACTGCTACTATACCTAGCTCTAATTGATATCAATTGATCAGAAATATTTCAAATATATTTAAAATGTTCAAAATTTTAAAAACTTAACCATGGTGTCTAAAAGAACGTTTTTTTTGGGACTCCTTGTATACTGTAGTACTCAGTTAACTTATCGGAAACCTTTTTTATTCTTTCAACCCCTAGGGTGTAAATTGGCAAAAAAAACTTGCCCTGCGGTTTTATTGATTATTAACTCTGTTTTGTGAGTTTGTTGGATATTATATTATTATATTGTATCCGCATCATAGACTGCCCAGCACACTAACATATATCAAGGTTTTATAATTTAAACAAGAAGGGAGAGGGGGGGAGAGTAAAGTTGCAGAAGGATAGGAAGGAGAAAGGATAGGAATGGGGGGGGGTTATATCCTTCATGTTTTTTGCATGGTGCATGGAAAGGGAAGAATTTTGAATAGAAATACTGAAGAAACCAAATATAAAAACTTTTAGATTTTTTCAATCAAGGCTTGAAGAAATAAATTCTCACTATGAATGATTATGACAATTTTTTCCAATTTGAGATGAAAGATGAAAGAACCCTGATTGCATACTTACTACACCCTTAAAAAATCCCTTCAAATTTTTTTCAAAGGAATTGAGTCCTTGCCACAAACTAAGTTTTTAACCTCGCTTTAATTTTATTATTTTTATTTGTATTATCCCAAATTACAATTGTGTGCCTTTTTTGCACGGCTCGCGAAAAAAATCATTTAATAAAATCTACCGTGCACAATGAAATTCTTGCACAATTGTATGTGGCTTTCAAATACATAAATGATAACATTGATCTTAATTCTTTTATTGTGTGATTATTCATATCTATATGTTTACTGCAAGTGCACCAAGAATAAAAGGAATCCTTCATATCAATTGGTTATGCATTGTAGGGTTACACTGGATCGAATCTTTATCTTGTATCAAAGGGTTACTTTGTATTGGATTTGCGGGGTGACCCAACAAAGTATGCATTTACACAAACAGCGAATCATGAAGGTTAAAAGTCTTAATTTCAGCTTCAAGTAATCTACTGATGAAAAATGTGTATTTAATCCCGACATACAATCAAATTAATTGGTTTAGGATTGGAAATTTCTTAGACAACCTGTATTATGGAAGGGGAGTAACTCAATCAAAATCAATGTTATCTTAGATATTCCAGATACAATATAAATCAATAATTAATTACCAACATGCATGTTCTCAGTTTCAAGAATGATTCTACCAGATAGTTTCTAAGATTCAGCTAAACTAAAGATAATTTGCTTGTACACTATAAGTAAGTAATGCGGAAAACTAAGTTTTTGAATTTTGTAAAAGTTTAGTCTATTCACTTAGCCGATTCTCAGATTCAGTGTTCCTTTGGGTCTTAACAGACAAAGAAAATGAAAACGAAACTTCTGCTTTTCTAAGTTTATTATTGATTTCTACGTAAAATAAAGTTATAGACACAGATATATACTTGTTGAGATATTTTTTTACAGATGAGTATTTAAAAATTATTCAATGTAAATACATGACTAGAAGATAACTACAAAATTCGTCAAATAATGTTATTTAATTTTATTTTTTACAGTTTTGCCGAAATAAGGATTTTCACACAAAAATGTTGGTGAAGATTTTAGGGCATGAAATTTAGGGTTTAAATATTGGGGATTTAGGGCTATAATCACGGGCAGTCGTAGTACATTTAAATTTCCGAGCAGGGTCAACCATTCCGGTCCCAGTTTGTACTGTACCTAGCTATGCATGGACTGGACAATCCGGTACAACAAGGTTGACGTGGTCAGTCGTCATGCTTCATATAGGCTGAAAATAATGTTACTAAAGGGGCAGATTTGCGTGTACTACATTGCACAAACATAAGATATTTTTTTTACAAAAAGAATTCGATCTTCGTCGTCGATTTGGGCAAAGAAACATTTGTCCGTAATCTTAACCGACATTAATACCCCTTCCTGAATATTGTAAAGTGAAATTCAGGGTTTAATATGTATTGTGATTTTGTATCGTATATAATGCTAAATTTTCCTCATAGATACAATTAAAGATGTATTTCAAAATTACGTTTATGTTCTGTCATCTCCTCATACTCTGTGGACTGGTCCATTACTAAGTCTACTACAGTTTACAGATAAAAGATGAAACATTCTGTCTTGCCGTATCAGCAACCTTTCTTTTATATTCCACAAAATATATTTGCTTTTTTATATAATAAAGGTTAGGGTGAAAAAATCAAAACTGCATCCGTCATTATACAATGAGTACCAAGATTTAAAAATTTTGCCCTAGTTTCTGTTTTGTAGCTCATTATCTAGAAGGGTGTTACAATAAACATGGGAAATGAAGAGACGACTTAAAAATAGTTTTATTATTATTCAGATAGTTGTGTGTCTTTAAATTCACAGAGATGTAAAAAATTGTCCAGATTTCAATATATTAAAAATATAAAATCTTCATCCATTTAAAATATACAAAGAAAATTTAGAAAAATCATAAGACGTACAAAATCAAAACGTTTCCATGCTTATTTGGACAACTATTTTACTATCTTACCTTATAATTTTTACAATTGCTTATTAGAAATAGACATCTTCAATCTAAAGTACAAAATGTATATATTGAATTTAATGCCCCTTTGTCAAGTATAAGAAGAATGATATTACATCCTTCCCCTTCTAACCTTTAAGAAAGGGTTTGGTGCTTTAGTGGTATGAATGAATGATGGTCTGTAGCTGAAAGAACGGAAAAGACAAGGAAGAGGAGTGGGGGAGGGAAAGGGGAAGGGGGAAAGGGAGAATAGGGGGGGGGGAGAATAGAGGAGAAAGGGTAGGACTGTAAGATTTATTATTTATTCCTTCCTGCTCGGTCAAACGCTTAATAGTGATATATTCTCTTTAAGAAGTATGAGAATCCAGACTTTCTATTATTTGGTAAATTAACAAATTTTTTTTCTGTATTCACGAAGATAACCTTTGACTCTTTAAGGTGGTCAATAATGGGGATGATATCGTCGGTTTTCTAGCTTATACATTTTTTAAAGATAAACTACAATTATAGATGGTTAGTTTTCAAAGAAAATCACGTCTTTCTCATTTAATATTGATCAGACACATCTAATGGAATCGTTGTAAATCGGACATGTCACTTTATAAATGATGGGTCACTTTAAATTATGTCTATCTATTATTATCAAAGTTCGGGGTGTCAAATTAACGATTTCGTTCCATTTTACGCAATCAAAGAAACAGTGTTAGTTAGAGCTAGTTTGGGAACCAACTTTTCCCTGAAAACTAAACTTTCTCTATATAAGTCGCCTTACTCAACTTTCAACAAGAACATACTGGTTGTGCTACTGGTGGTTCTCAATAAAAATTTGAGGCAAATTGGTTAAATGTTCATGAATTTGAATATTTATCGGACAAACGAATGAAAGCGTCTTTTTTTTATCAATTTAAAAAAATGTTTTTGTTTTGTAGAACACTCTAGACTGATAAAATTTCATTAAAAAGTTAAGTAATGAAAAACAAAACAACAAACCAAGTCAAATAACAAATGGTTTAAATACTCAACTTCTTTAAAAAGTAAAAAGGGAACAATATCTGTTTAAATAGAATATTCTGTAAAGTCAAATTGTTGCATGAACCGAACCAGTACAGTACAGTACAGTACAGTACAGTACAGTACAGTACAGTACAGTACAGTACAGTACCGGATTAAGGAAAAGTTTATATGTAATACACACGCTTTTACTCGTACCAACACGTAAAGTGAACCCAGTCTTGAGTGGACCCAGCTCGTTTTATGCAACACTTGTAGATTCCTCCTTTTAGGAAAACAATTCTAATGGCCTAGATCACTACGATCCATGTACAAGATATCTCTCGATGAAAATGAGCCCTCTGCGTCTTTCACAACACTTCAGATAGCAATAAAGTTGATGTTCACATCAATGCAACCCATATTACTAAACTGGTCTTTTGTGTGAATATTATTTCCAAGAACAAAAAAAATAGGATTATAAGTTTTAAAAGCATATCATGTGAAGTGTTTTTTTTTGTCCTAACTCGGTCAATTTTTAATTTTTTTTTTAAATGGATGAGAACTAGATGTTTAAGACGATTTCAGCAATATCCATGTAGACATGCTTTTTAAAGTTTTTATCCCACCCCCCTCTTTTATTATCATTAAACCCCATTTACGATACATCCTAGATACATCCTAGATACTAGATACTAGATGGTTTAAATTTAAGCCGCGGCTCAAATTTTGGTGGTTTCACTTAAATTGGTATTAAATTTTTCAATTGAAACTGGTTTTTGGGGGGATTTGAGACGCGGCTTAAATTCATAAAATTCGGACACTGGTCCTCTTTACAAAACTGAACACCCCAAACATTTTTCATATTTTCAATTTCAGCTGAAACATTCCGGTATGATAAAGACGACATGATCGAGCTATCTAGTCTAATTGATCTAGGCTAAAAACTTTCACCCTTTCCATGTATTTTATGTAATGTCTCTTTTAAAATGACAAAACTGATTTTAAAGAGCTATGCCAATTTATCTGCTTTGTATTCTTAACTGTTCAAGAAATAAATGTTTTGCTCTTGTTTTTGTTCATATCAACGTTAACATCAGAAACAATAAATCTTATGAAAGAACATAATTTTTATTCAAAATAATTATCTTGTCACATTCCAGATAATCTTAACTGGAATTTTTAACGTTATAATTATCAGATCAAGACATGTATTAATTAACACAACTTAAGGTGGACTGTTGATAAAAATAATAAACCTCTGATATTTCAAACTTTGATTATATGTATTCGTGTTTTGAAATATTACGGTATTACAACATAAAATTAAATTAAAGAGATTAATTAGTAAGTTTTAATGAAAGATTTTTTCTAAATTCTTTAATTTGACCCCTAGGAAAACATATAAGATGCTATAGAAAATTATTATAACAAAAAATCCCCCCCTCTTCTGAAGTAGACTAAACAATACATCAAAAACTATACCTCTGCACGTTTTATTGATAAAAAGTATAATAATAAAAAGAAAGTTATAAAATAATTATGATAATGCAAATATGCTAAGTTTTCTTGAGAAAAAGGGGGGAGGAGGAGAGCTAATTGCTTTATTTATCAAAGTCAAATAGTTGTTTAATAGCTTTTAATGCATGGTTGGGGAATTTTGACATTGTAGAAGCGGGAAAGCAGGGGAACGGGGAGGAGGGGTGTTAAAGTTGAGCACAAATACAAGTGGCAATTTATTTTTAAAAAATGTGTTTGCATTCTTTAAATAGATAAAATAATTTAAAGAAATCGTTTACAACTGTTTTCTATTCACTAGTTAAATCCATCAACTTTTTAATATTTAATAATTAGTTCAGGTGTTCACCATAAACCTCCTAACCCCACTCTCATTTCATGTCGTCTTTACAAGCCCAAATCCAAACCAAACAATTTCTCCAACTCTACTTCTCTACCCAGACAAAGGAAAATTGAAACAGTAAAACATTTTATTAAATGAAAGATCAAATCCATAAATAGCTTTGCAATCAATAGTTAATTCCACTCAAAAACCCGGGTGTATATATACATATGTTTTAATCTATTCCATCAAACCCTCAAACCCTAATCACTCCGTCACGAAAAGCTAGTAAGATATATTTTAAATATTCATCAAAATTCATACATTGTCATTGTCATTTTTTACTTTACCTGTTTTTTATTACAGGTTTGAAATAAATCTATTTACTGATTATTGCAACTACTGTGTCCGCCTTAAGGAGCCTAACCAACAAACCAATTAACCAACTTACCAACCAACCAATGAACGAACTAACCAATGAACCAACTAACCAATGAACCAACTAGCCAATTAACCAACTAGCCAACCTAACATCTAATTGTCATATCGACTTTCTCACCTACGTTTCAACAACAGGATGTTTACCAGTTTACTTAACGGCGCGGTAGTTGGTGAAATCAAAAAAAAATCTAAATTATCACAAAACATATAACTCAAAAAAAATGTATAAATAAACAAGTAATTGATATGCAAAGTAGTTTAATTTTATTTAAGTCGCGAAAACTAGATGAAAAAAGTTTTTACATTGATTCAGATATTAGGAAAAGTGTTTTTTATTATTATATTAGGAAAAGTGTTTTTCAAATCATGTCAAAATTTAAGACATGCTGCGATAATCAGAAAATTACAAAACTTTCGATTTTTTACGTTTTATTCCAACTGTAATATCTAAGCGATTTAAATGGTAGAATAATTTTGTATGCATTTTCAATATATCTACACAACAAAAGCTTTATAAAATAAATTAGGAGAGATGAAAAT